GGCTTTTCCAAGGTCACAGTGGCTGGAGAAGCTTACATAATGCTGTCTAACCAAAGCGTTGTGGGTCAGCCGTGCTTCGGAAGGTCAAATGTACAGCAAAGTCAGACTTGACCGTGTGGATAGGCCTCATTAGCATCTAAGCGTATGGCCATGTCAAAGGTGGTGAGTCAACAGGTAGCCACATTGGAGTCTAAAAGGATAGGATCATGGTGCACCAGTGCATTTTTTAAGATCAGATGTGGAGGAAGGGGGAGGCAGGGAGCTCCAATTTGTTATAGTTGAAGATTTCTGTGGTGTAAAGATTCCCGCCATAGGAAATTTCAAACGATCCGTAGTTTGAAAACTCGCTCACAACATGACTTAAAACAGCCAGCTCCTAAATGCCAGTATCAATAGGCTTCAGAACCTGAATAGGAGAAAGCATTGAAGAAGGGAGCAAAGAATCCCCAAATTCAATCTAGTTAAACAAACAGGATTGAGACAGAAGGTTATGCTACAGCTAAACCACAGGGCTGCGGGAGAGGGATTCATTGTATGCTTTGCTTTAACATTGTAGAAGATTCGATCTCTAATGTCAAGCAACATAATCCATGTCCCGTTTGAAATCTTCAGTAAATTCTACATGATTTACTATTGAAGGATCTAAAAAAGGAGAATGGGGACAGTGGACCTATGGGTTACTCATGAAAAAGAAGGCATGGAGGTGAGGATTTAATGAGATGATCCTATACATATGCTCTCAGCTGAAGTCTTTGGTCACACGTGGAAGCCTAGACTCTAACATAGAATGATTAGAGTGATTTGTGGGTAGGAAACGCGAGGGAAGTCCAATGCTATAGAAAATTCCAACAAGAAGACCTCAATCCCGTGGAAAACAGGCATGCTACGTTGAATTCATTTACAGCAGTCTACAGTCTCATTATATTTCATATTTATATTTTAAAATTAGATTACCAAGTTAACAAGGAATTCAGCATGGCGGGATTGTGCTGGCCTACACGTGGTCAGCCCTTGAACTCCTGTGGGGAAGAGACAGGTAGGAAGGTACACTAACTTGTAAACTCATGATTGAATTCACTTCATAACCTGGATGAACATGGAGAACAGTATGCTGAGTTAAATCAGTCAATTACAAAAGGATTAATAGTGTATATGACTGCAGATATTAAACATCAAGTACAGGCTAATTCACAGGAATAAAAACCACATCCTGTATAAATTACCAAGGGTAGGAGGGAAGAAAGGGTAAATCACTAACGGGAGGCTAAATCAACCCCCCTGCCATTGTATATATTCCAACTCTTAGTGACCCTATAGGACAAAGTAGAACTACTCCTTAGGGTTTCTGAAACTATAAATCTTTATGAGAGCAGGCAGCCTTGTCTGCTGGGTTTGAACCACAGACCTTGTTAGCAGCCCAATACACAGGCCATCGCACCAACTGGAGACTAGACACACATTTCTTTGGGTCAAAGAAAAGGCACTATACAGTAAGGGGATTATCAGCACAAAATAATCAAGGCAAAGGAAGACACTTGGAAGAACACACGAATTAAAGTCAACAAAGGTGAATACAAGCACACACATGAGCCTGCAGTCACAGTAGTAACAATAATCCACGCGTGGACATTTGACAGACATGCCAACTGAAAAAGAGTAGGAGGCAAATGGAGCTACCTCCGGGAATATTTATAGATTTGAAAGAGGATATTTCTACACCTGCTATTTAGATGAGCTACAAATAAATCCATGACTATAGCTGAGCATTCAGGAGGCAAAATCATGAAAACTTCTTAGCCATAAGCAAATGCCTTGAGAGTGGCTTGCTGGGCCTGAGGGCCAGGACAACAGTCTTGGCAACATCAGGTCAATTGGCATCACAGGTCACCAATGTAGTATTAAATTAAATGTGTGTGTGTGGGGGGGGTGAGGGCCCAGCCCCACCCACTGCTGCTACTACCCATGGGTTCACCAAGCACCATTATACAGTTGATAGATATATATAATATTATATGTATATAATATTAAAGTCATTGAGAGCATGAGAGATAAAAGAGATATTACAATGATGCAGTCAGACACATTACATGGTAGCATTGCTCACCTCCGCCCCGCGTAGTGGTCCTCGTGGGGGGAACCTGGCTACAAGAGCAGGAGCAGCCTCGGGGACTGAGAACTGGGGAGCCGCTCCTGGCCCGAGAGCCAGAGAGGGCCCCGGGAATCGGGGGGAGCCTCCCGGGCTCCAGAGAGAGCTTCCAGCCCCAGAGCTGGGGAGAGCCTCTCTTCTTTATTGCTAACCACGCGTTATATCACTTTAGGGGAACATGATTACAGAATCACACGTCACAGGAAGGGGCAGTAGAATAGGCATACACATTGTAGGAGGGTGATCTATGATAGGTATAAGCGTAACAGGAAGGGATGAGTTGGGGTGTGCCTATAGGAATGGGAAGGTCTAGGGGTATACATGTGACAAGATGGGCGGACCCTAGATTCATGATGGCAGTCTAATCTTGTTCATCATTGGGCGGGCTTGACCTCTCTGGTGTCTCCTACAAGGAAACAGACAACTACGATCCTCATCAGAAGGGAGTGGGCCCTATTTGTTGTGGGATAAACAGTGGTGTCTGCTTGGTCTAGACAGCTGATAACTCTGGGCCTTACTTGTGGGATAAACAGTGGTGTCTGCTTGGTCTAGACAGCTGATAACTCTCAGGGAGAATGACCCCCAATCTACTCCTGATGACCTCCAAGTGTACAGTCATTCTCAAGCAGCTAAGTCTGGTATATATTTGGGGGAGACAGCTTGAGAGAAATCCTTCTGCTTCCCACACACCAAGACAAGGTTCTGCATCCTATTTGGGTGAGAAACAATCAGAGTCTTAAAAGCTTAAGCATGGCCAACTATGGTCAAACTATTGGTCTCTCCTCATGGAGCATAGAAGAGTAAAGAAAATCAAAGATTCAAGGAACAGTTTGTCCATAGACTGATGGAGCACTGGGACCACAGTTTCCATGACATTGAGACCAGAAGAACTAAATGGTGCCTTGCTTCCATTATCAACTCTAAAAGGAATCACAATAGGAGGTCCTGGATAAGGTGGAAGAAGCACGTGGAATAAAACTGAAGATAGAAAAAATGACCAGGATTATTGGTTCTGTCTATGGCCCTTAGGTACCCTTCTGCCCTGGAACTAGATGCACATCTGTGGACACATTCAGGTTACAATAGACTGGCCTATAAGGTGAGCAGTAACACTGGATGATACATACTATTTAGGAAAACCACCTGAAGGAGAGCAAAGGGGAATCAATTGACCAGAATAAAGCTCAGAAGCAGAAAGGTATAGAAATGAAGGGTCAGAGGAAATGGTAAAACCTGGAGGACCTGGAGATTGTAGAATGTCACGAATCAAAATGTGTATAAATTGTTTAATAGCAAAACAGCTTTCTCTGTAACATTTTACTCAAATCACGAGGAAAATGGTCACTAAACAGAGCACATTGGTGAGTTTTGTATAGGAGGTCAAAGGCAGAAGCCTGACTTGAACTTGTTAGCAGATCCCCCTAGGATTCATGCTGCACCTGATGTGGTTTCCGAAATTCGATGTGTTGGGGGGTTGTATTTTTTTTATTTGGTTGAATATATTAGCGGTATCTTGAGAGTTTTATGTCATTGGGGGTCACCCTCTTGAAATTGCAGTATTTGTTTTTTGGGTTATGAAAACCAGGACCAATGAACTTCAGAGGCAGCAAGTGGAATAAGGGTTTTGTGGGGAGGGGGGCACAGAGGTGGTGGTGGTATGCTGAAGGGGTGATGATGTCAAAGGGTCCATATAAAAAGGATGCTTGGAAACCGATTGTGATAGCAAATGTACAATTCTGCTGGACGATGGAATGATTTGATACATGTATCAATCCCAATTGGTGAAATTTTTAAAAAATTTAAAAAGATGCAAGAGCTTTATGAAGCAACATATAACACTATTGTTAGGTTTGTAACAAAATACAAATGACAGAATCCATCTCTCAACACAATCTGGCTTTTAAATCTATTGCTCAGCATAAATCTATAAGGTTGTTTTTGTTAGGTGCTTTGAGCTGGCCTAGTGACTGATACACAACAGAAAGAAATACTGTGCCCAGTGCTGAGCCACCGCACCATTGTTCCTGTGCTCCAGCCCATTGTGGCCATTGTGTCAATCCATCTCCTTGAGAGCTGGTGTCCTTTTTGATGCCCCTCTACTTACCAAGCAGGATGTCCTTCTCCAGGGACTGGTCTCTCCTGACAGCATGTCCAAAATATGTTAAGAGGGAATCGTTGGAAAGGGGGAACCGATTACAAGGATCTACATGTGACCTCCTCCCTGGGGGACGGATAGCAGAAAAGTGGGTGAAG